CTGGTCAATCAATCGTGTTGATTCTCAGACGTAATAATTTCGCATATTGTCATCCAGACTGATCACTAGTCAATCTATGAATATGTTATCATGACCTCAAACAGATTATAAACATAAACGAAATGTGGTACATATTGTAAATGTCTGTGTCCTTTCGTAGTATATTAAAAGTCCGGCAAATTCTGTAAAAAATTGCAAAAATCATATTTTCGAAAATGGAATTTTTGGTAAACAGTTATGTTTTGAGATTTATCATTGAAGGTTTGTGGTCGAAAAGGGTATCTTCAATCGATATTTCACACTAAAAAGTAATTTAATGCAAATTTGTTGCAGCAGGTTTATTTTTGGAAGTAACAATTTACAGAACGAAACGCTTATATTAGCCTGTAAAATTGTAATATCCTACCTGACATTTTTAGCTTCAGCTCAACTGGGAAAAAATCTTAATTAAACTAAATATAAACAACTAAATTCTAATATTGCTGGTTCCTGTAAATAGTTGATTTCTGATTTCTTCTCAGTTTTGCATGCACTAAATATCAACTTTCATACTTCTACAGCTACAATATAACTGATTTGTCGACTTTGTCCACTAATGACAGTTTACATGAACAAAATAATTGTTGTCTTGAATATACAGTTACAATAGGTCATTGCTTCTTTTGTATTTTCCAAGTACATCTATTTTTTCTCTAATAATTATAAATTCTGTCTCAAGGTGTGTGGTCAAATTTAATGTTCAGTAATTATGAATTCTCTATTTCCTGAACGAGATAATCGTCTGTTTTATAAGTTCAATCTTTCATAAATAACTATATTGAACTATAAATGTAACATCCCTGTCAATAAATTTACTCACTATATAGTATTTATAAAATTCCAACATTACACAACAATTTGGCAACATGAAAACAGTCTATTTCCTGACACAGTTACACTGTGTCGAGTCGTTTTAATCCAAAAAATACGCACACCTATATTACTATACGTTGCACGACTTCTATCGCTCAAGAATCATCTTTTGTACATCTTTTAGGAACTTTATAATATTCCAATCTATCACACGACTTAGTATATTCTACAAATAATGATATTCTACCAATATGAATCTTTTAGGACATAGTTTCCCAAATCCCGCCACTGATCGTATGAGACAATTATTCGCCGAGGCGCGGTCGATGTTAATATTTGTATCATCTGCGAGACCAGTAGTCTCTGTTATTCCTAATTTTGCGATGTTCCTCATCATACAAATGCCTGGGCTGTTTGTGAGAACACTAGGAATAATACGGAAATTAGAGGCGGTGACTTGTAATCGCACCGACAGGCAATACATGACACTGAGTGTACCACCATGCGCCACCGAAACATCTACCACCGTAAATTAACAGCGCTATCTCTATCTCTTGTAGTAAACTGCATGTTATTTCGATGACACAAATCACCGGCTGTTGTACCTTTTATAAAGGGGTCATATGTAAGTACCAATGACCTGACCACGATTAGATTAGAGTATTTACATTTTCAGAATCATCTGTGAAGTCACTTGTTGACATAATAACAATGTTGACATCATCGTTATCTTTGTAAATGTTCGCGAAATGTGTGCTATAATTGATACGCACACCTGGTGATTCTCCCTTCAAATGGTGTCAGCCACAGTCGATATCGTTTGAATGCTTCCTCCAATCGAGAACAAAGTGCGTGTCCAGAATTGGCCTTCCAACAGTCATTCCCATTTTGAAGAAAGATTATGTTTTTATTTATTCCCCATTGAGTTCACCGAACCCATCTAGTTCTCAATTCCATTTACAGGGCAAAGTATTATGAT